AAACAGAACAAGCATGAAGACGGAGAGAGAACTTAATACGACACAGTCAGAAAGACAGAAATCATTAAAAAATAAGAATAAAAGTGCTGCTTTGTCTGAGCACTGCCTGCAGTTCACCTGAGAACTCTCAGATTTTTTGTCCTGTGACTGTTTGTGTAGTCGAGTCGCTCTTGGCTTCATGTTTGCACCGATCAGAGCAAAATTTTGTGTTTTTTGCAGAATCTGGTTCTGGGCAACTTTTCTAATTTTGTTGATTTTTTTAAATGAGACACGTAGAATTTAAGATTTTTAACATCATGATTTTAAGGTCAGATTTCACACGTGACACGAAAGAATAAAAATTAAATTAATATGCATTCATGTAAAATGAAGTCTCAGCTGTTATATAGGTTGTATGTGGAAGAGTTTCTGTCATTGAATTAAAATAAATAAAGAAAAAATGTTACTTATGATTGAAAAAAAATATTCGTGACAAATCAAAAAAAATTTTTAAAATGTAAACAATTTTCTAAAAATTATGATAAGTGAAGATTTTAAAGCAACAAGACAAAAATATTATTAAAAATGTCAAATTAATGAGATGAAGTCCAAGTTGTGCCTTATAGTGCATCAAACACTTAATGTTGAGGTTAAACTTCAAAAACAGCCAAAATGTGAAGGGACTCTGGAGCTGCAGGATTCTGGATCAGTTTGTTGATAAAACTTCATCCAGTCTGAAGGTACATTCAACAAACATCTCGATCGGTCCAATGAAAACCCCGATAAACGAAATTTACTGGAACACGAAACACAGAAACGAACACGTGTGACGTCTGAGAAGCTGCAGGAATCACAAGAAGCTGTTGCAGGAGGAAACTCTGACATCTGTCTTCCTGAGAAAACCTCAGAGATGAGAAGTGACAGAAAAAGGCAGGTTTCACTATCGATTCCAGGCCTCGAGTCTTCATCACCAGAGATGCGTTCAACAAATCTCAGGTTACATTCCGTTTAGAACAGCTGTAAACATCTGTACGAGCTCCACAACGTCGCTGCTGCTTCAGAGGCTTAAAGCTGCAAAAATACGAAGCAGCTCTGGTGCAGGGCTGCAGCGAATGGGCATTTTTGTTCTCGATTAGCTTCTAGATCTAGAAAAGACCAGAAAATGGTGGAAAACCTCCAAAACAACATTTTAGAAAAAGCAAAAGACTGAGGATTCTGTTCGTTTTAATATTAAAAAGAATCGGTTATATGTGACTAAACTGCAAAAATGGTTAAAATTTGAATGGAGTTTGGTGCGGAATCATTATTTCGCTGTAAACATTGATGCCATTTTGTTTGTACAACATCAGAAAACCTTTTGAGACCCTGAAACTTACATTTTTAAAACTGTTTTTTAAACACTATTTTTCTGTTGATTGCAGCAGAAGTTCTAGACAAAAGTTCTTCAAGTTTGTGACCGAGGTTCTTCATCAGTTTGTCCACCAGATAAGAAAACTAAGAAAAAACTAAATATTTAAACTTTTTAGGGGGTATAATTTCATTTTTCAAACCCTCAAAGGTCAACATCTGCCTCAGGATGTCGCATGTAGTTCATGAATCTGCAAAAACAGCAGAAATATGAATGGACTCTGGTGTGGGGCTGCAGCTGATGACTCTGATGTTCTACATTTATCTGCTCATTATTTGCTATTATAATTAACTGACTGTCCATAACATAACCGACAAATTTGATAATCTGTCCAACACATTGCCCCGTTTCCAAATGTAAAACATCCCATCTGTGGCTTTGGTATTTGTCTGATAAACTCCACCAGAAGTCCATTTGAGAAAATCGCAATTTTTATAGCAGCTGTTTGATTTCAGGGTCAAACTCCAGCTGACAACAGAGATGTCTTTGTAAACGTCTTCTTTTGTCCGACCAACACTAAATATTCAGTTTAGTTCCACTTTAGACAAAGAAAAGCAGCAGATTTGCACATTTAAGAACTCAGAATAACCACAACTTTCCAATGAGCTCTGCCAAACAACCAAAATTCACTTTATCTCTGAAGCGCTGGTACAAAACGGGAATATAAAACTGTGTTAATGTCAAACCAGTGGCGGCTTATCAGCAGAATCCATTTAAAGAATCTCCGTTTTTATTGAGCAGCTTGATTTCAGGGTCAAACTCCAGCTGACAACATCTGTATGAGCGCCACAGCCGTTCAGCAAAGCGTTCAGAGGTTCAGAAACACGAAGGGACTGTGGAACAGAGAGTTTTTCAGCTGCTGTCTGAGACATCACATCCTTCCTGTGCAGAGGTTTTAAGAGCAGCAGGTTCAGGAACTCTGAATCAATGAATGAAACGCACAGAACCTGAAGGCAGGATGTTCAGCTCCTGGCAGCTTCTACTACCGTTTCTTCTCACAGTATCGATCGAGCCTCGTGTGTTGTCTTCTGTCGAACACACAGTGTTTGTGTGTTGATTTACTTTGTGTATTTCCTGCATATTTAATTCAATATTGCAGTTAACAGTCGTCTCTCAGTCTGTGAATCTTGTTTTCTCTGACGGTGGATCTGGATCAAACCAGATTCTTTTACAGTTTTAGCTTCACTGGAAACGTCAGCATGAGGTTCACAACGTCGCTGCTGCTTTACAGGCTTAGAACTGCAAACAGAAACACTGACGGGCTGCAAATCCTGAAGTCAAATTGCTTTTAAAACATCAGACAACGGAAAATGATCATCAGAGCCTTTAAGGGTTTGAGGCGGCTTCATCAAACGTCTCGATTTGTGCAAACAAAACCCAAAGAAATCACATTTACTGCAACACGCACAAGTGATAAATACAGAAAAATATGGAGGGACTTTGGAATTCAATCATTATGAGGTCGTAAACCAGTGAAGTACACTGGTAAAAAAAATCTGGTAAAAAAGAAAAAAGATAAAACAACAAAACTGGCTGCAAGGATGCCAAAATAAATAAATAAATAAAGGTTAAAAATAAAACCGTGGAATACGACAACATCCAAAAACTGTTAGAACAGTGAAAATACAGGAAAATATCTGCAGAGTAACTATATTTGTTCTCATTTGAATCCAGTAAAACGGGGTAATTTTGGTCACACATTGTAAAAGAACAAATGACTGTTTGCCTAAATACACATTGTTGATGTGAATATTATTTACACGTTTGCCCTGTTTTGTTGTTGTTGTTGTTGTTGTTGTTGTTTTAAACAGGCAATAAAAACTATTTTTTTCCTGTGACTTCAGTCGATATTATCTGTGATTTACCAAAGCAGAAAAAAATATTTACCTTTTTAAAAATTCTGAAAACTGCAAATATCTGTAGAATATTGATATTGTTGCTGATTTAAATACAGTAAAAAATAAAATCATATTTTTAAATGTGTATGTTTAGAGTCACTCACTGTAAATTAATAAATTATCATTTGTAAAAATACTGACTTTTGATTTCTACAGTATCTACAGTTATGGCCTGTATCTTTTAGAGCCAGATATGTTCTGTGATTTAACAAAACAAAGAAATTCTGTGAAATTAGCAGTAAGTGGTTTAAAAAATTACAGTTAAGCTTTTTTTTTTTTTTTTTTTTTTTTAGGATATATAGATTTTAAAAACAGGTAGCTCCACTGGCTATGTTTCATTATTTGTGCTTTTAATTTGCTTTCTATTTGAGGCATTTTATCCACTTTTTAAAAATCATTTTCTAATTAGATGGATCCTTGGATTTTATTTGTAAACAACATACACTGAAAAAAATGTATGTCTGTAATACTAATAATGTCATTAAAAAAAACAAAAAAAACAATTTACTGTTATTTTACAGATTTTCTCTGTTTTGTGAAATGACAGATAAAATATAGTAAAATGACAGAAAAGAATTGTTAACTTACATCTTAACATTTAAAAGAAAAGCCAAAACCATGAATAACCTCCACGTCAGTGAAGTGAAATAAAAAATATTTTACCAATATTTGCCGTTATTTGAAAGAAAAATAGTGTATATTAAACAATGAAACTGGTAAATAATCCTTTAACTTATTATTTCATATATTTTCTCTATTTTGTTGCATTGCAGGAAATATCTACTAAAATCACATAAAGAAGTATAATATACATGCCGAGTGAAAAAATAAAAAAAAACTAAGACTATGAATAATATTCACATAAAAATCCATAATTTTTTTTTAACACAACACGTGCCCATAAAACTACATGGTTTTACTGTATTTTAAAAACAAAACAAAATAATAATAATAATAATAATAAAAGGGAATGAAAAACAGTA